TAGTAAGCGACCGCCGCTAAAAGTACTTCAGATTCCCTATTAAAGCGTTCTGTAAGAGGCTAAGTAGCACGCTCCGATTAACGTCCGTGTTAGTGAATATGGCTTATAAGATCATTAGTCGACCTGGCGCTGTTATCTCTAGGAGGGTAAATGGAATTTTGCCGCGTTTATCCCTATATTGTAACTCACTAAACCATAATCCCCCTTTCAGAGACCTATCGACCACTCGAAATCCGTTACTACTAGATATCGGTTACTAACTCTCGTCGCGGCAATATTATAGGGTGTGCAAAAGTATACACCAGAAGTATCCGCCACGGTTAGGCATAAACGAGATTCTAAGGAAGGATCTCTTTATTTCCTCAAACGGGATACTGAGTTTCCAGCCCCTACCCTCTATGACGAATTTTTCCTTGTCTTCTCCTCTGATGTGGAAGGTATTCTAAGGCTAACTATATTAGTAAATTCCTCTATCGGCAAATAAGGTCTTAAATAGAACTAATAATAATAGATAATAAATTAATTGTAAATAAAGTATCGATGTTAGGATATAACTTATAATATCACATTTCCTCTACGTGCTCGGATCTGATTAAAGAGAATTCTATTTCCGACGCCGGGTAGAGATAACCGAGATAAATATATATCGATTACTTTAGGGCAATACATTCTACTTCGATAAACAATAAATTAATTATATAGGGCTATAGCTAATAATGACTATCGTAATCTATAGCTAAGTTCTCTCGCTATCTCCGAAATTGTCGTTCAACTAGCTATTATTTTATTACGAGATAATCCATCTCTTAGCTAGAGGGTTCAAATATCCTGATATCTGGTTTATACAGAGGAGACTAAGAAGGAAATAATAGGCTTCATATTACCTATAGTAATATAGTTAGTTAACGCTAAATCACCGGCTAGCTACTCTTTCCGCTTTAGCTCTTTCTACTAAAGCTTCTAACTCTCGATTTATACAGATGTCACTATCATTATAATCCTATTTAAGGACTTTCTCTCTATCCTCGCTATTATTATAGCCAGCTCTGACACAGAAATATCCTATAAATATATATCGGTGGCGAGTATATAAAATAGGAACTTTATTAAAGAAATAGTGCAGGGAGGCTATATTATTATGTTTAACCGCCCTAAACCGGCAGAATAAATTAGGCAGCCAAGATGATAGATGGTAGGCACCGTAACGAGTGGCCTAATAAAGCCGGTTTCCCCTCACTTCGGGCAGAGATTCAACCCCTCCCACTCTCGCGCGATAGTGTCATATATACTAGTCGGAGTATAGTCAGTTAATCTCATAATCAGAATTTGCTACTTAAGTGATCATCGGAAAAACTATCCACCGTTAGCTCGAAGATTATTCGCGACCCGCGGCTTAGAACAGACCCCGCGCTACTTCTACCCAAATTTAATTCTCGACGTCCTACAGCTAGAATTTCCCTTGAGTGAGTTAGGATATCTTGTCTAATTTAGTATACTATCTTAGTACTGATCTCTTTTAGTACGTATCGGCCATTCGGCGGCCCTCGTATCGGAAGGCCGATCAACTACCCATAGCTACGCAAGGTTCGGACGATAACTTAGTCGAATCCCTAGAAATACCGTTATCTATTAAAGATATTTACACCGCGGCTTGCAAAAATAATCAATCTATAGCAGAATCCCTATCCATCCCTTTAGATCGGATATCTACAACGTTACTAGTGTAGGGGCCTAGGAGGGAGGTTATTGCTAAGATTGAAGAATCGTCCTTAGTGAGGTTGTACGATCCGATTCTAAGACTAGGCTCTAATATTAAATAGAATAGCCCGACTCGAAAAGAACGCCGATTAGAGAAATCTGGAATAAGGCCTACTCTCCAGGTTTTCTCCCCGGGAGTAAATATAGTTAGCCAACCTTATATAGCGATTATACCGTTTTATATTAAGGGGAAAGTGACACTAGGAGAAGAAACGGTTCAGATAGATCGGTATTATCACGTATATAGTAAATATCGATTAGTGATTAAAGATCAGTCTAAATTAGGGGTTTAGGCATATAAGTTAGGAAATTAGCATATCTATATTATTCTGATATTTTAGGTGTTCGGTGAGATTATAGGCCGAAATCGTGTTGTGGAGAAATACTGTTAAAATCGAAGCAAGCCCTAGTAGTGATATTATCCATAAACTCGGAAACGGTAAAGGGTTAGGTTAAAAGTTATTCATAGAATAGGTACGCAAGTTCCGCGTCGATACAATCGCTAAATAGGATTGAATCTTCTAGAACTTTAAGAAGACACTCTACGGGATTACTTAAGGCTCCCGGTCCATCGACTAGATTAGGTCGTAGGCACTTCTGTCTCCTTCGTTCTATCGCCGAGACAGGACTCTTATAGATCACTTATTAAAGTATTAGCATACTATAGTAGCACTATTAAAACGAATCGGCTTACTATTATAGGAATTCTATAGTTAATTAAACCAAGGGCTAATGTCTCGTATAAAATCCAGTAAACTTTCTTCGGACAATAGTTGTTCCGTGAAGTTAGACATTTTATTATAGCGTAATCTTCGAAATTAATCTATATATAGTCCAGCAAGGGCGGAAATTGCAAGGAAGATAGGTAGTAGGCCGCATTTTATTAATCGGTCGGCGATAATCTTTTCTATAGCTAAATACTTAAGGCCGGTTACTAGGGCCCTCGACGAGAAGTCTTTACTATCGTATCTAAAAATATTATCGCCGGTAGGGATCGGAAGCAAGGTATAGTGACAGAGCTCTTTAAGCTTCGTTAGGGAAACCGTGTCTTCTATTTACCAATTCGTGAATTCCAGCGTAATCGATCTAAGAGCAAGAATCCTTATAAGTTTAGTATCGTTGCCGATATATCTATCTCCCTCTACACGCCTTATGTGCTCTAATCGAAGATCGTCATCGGAATTCCGCTTACGAGATAGGATATAACTATATTCTTTTTAACTGACTTCCCAGAGCTAAACCACTAATACCTTAATACGTTTCAATAAGTTAGGGACGTGGTTTAGAGGTACTTTACTATAAGAGGAGCCTAGACTCGGTATTAACTAGTCGGCAGGAGTAGTAAAAGGCTAGGTAGAAACTTAGGAAACGGATGTTTTAGGCGACTGTAGAGACCTTATATCCCGTGGATCACTGCACTCTATAGTTTAGGAACCGGGAGAGCTAGTAAGTAGGGAAAGCTGAGGTGATTATAAAGGAGATGGCACCCTTAGATCCCTAGAGTTCGTCTGGAGACTTAGGGACTTAGTAGCTTAAAGAACTCGAGGCGACTATAGAGGAGAGGGTACGCTTAGGGGGTCCGTGGGAGTCGTCTGGAAATCGGGTGACTCAACTAATAAATTGTGCTAAAGACGCTGGCCGACCCTCCTAAGCGTTAAGATGATCTGGGTAGTATGTAAGTGAAGATATTCATTAGATGTATTACTTATTGTGTCTAAGGCTACTAGGAGATCTATTACGAGGTGAGGTAAAGGTAGGTGTTACTCAGAATCAAAATATTTGTGGAGTTAGGACTTCTCTTAAGTGTCGAACACTAAGCCTGGACCTACAGTCCAGTGTCCAACATCGCAAAGTGGAGTCGCAGTCTAACCTACTGGACTTAGCTCAACATCATTGTTAGCTAGCGTCCGTGCGAAGCGCGATAAGCAGCTGAAAAGTTAGCTCTAGTCTTGATTTGAGGGGCTTCTCTAAGTACACGTCATCCTACAACCCGACGTATGATAACTTGAGGAGTAGGGACGGCGGTTCCCGCTCTTATAATTTAAGGCCGGGGCTAAGAAAGTCTTAGTGGGTCTAGAAGAGAGGACTGCTAATAATAAGGGCACGGGTGCTTTCCCCGCCTTAATACTAGGAGGCCCGTACCTAGCTAGATTACGGCTATAACACCTAATTCGATCCCCAATACACGAGTGTTAAGACATTGTACCTACAATATTAAAAGTCGTTATCAGGCTGGGGTAAGGCCCTATTTAGGGCAATGATAAACTCCCATTCGTCTACAGAGTAGCTCGCGAAGGATCCTCCACAAATACCTTAAGTTAGCCTCTAGTGTTAGCCTTACGCCGCCGACATAGCTAATATATAATTACAGAAAAGAAAAGGCTAATCTATATACAGAATAGGGGCTCAGCAGCCAAGACCATACACGATACTCCGTACTCATCCCTAGGTCGTTTATAACCGCTAGTACCGCGAAGGATTTATGTTTCTATGTTCTGTGTAAGTCTATATAGGGTAAGGGATAATAACGCGATTAATACCCCTCTTTAACTTCTAAGTGATAAGATCCTAAGGAGTGAAAATGAAAATATCTACGTTCTACGTAAGCTCGAAGTTATGTACAAGTCCAAGGTATCTCGTATCTTCCGTGACAGCTTCGCTTGATAAATATGATTGACATAAGGTCTCACGACGACCTTGCCCAGTCGTCCACGCGGCCTCCGACTAATATTTAATTTATGATTTCCCCTCCACTTACCAGATTTCAGACTTCACGATCCTCCACGAACAATCGAGGCTTAGGCCGGTTAGCTTCCTTAATAGCAATCACAGTTCCCTAGCTAGGAAGACTCCGATTTCTAGGCACATGATATGTTCTGATGACTGGATTAAGTCCCAATTGTCGAAGAGATAAGGTCATTATCTCTAGTTAATCAGGTAAAGCCATAGCTCCTTAGAACCAAGCACAAACGACAGCCGTATCCGCTAAAGGAAAGTACGCTCTGTTTTATTGATATAGAGCAGTCACTCGACCCATCATATAGCGAGCGTTGTTGTCGCCGGCGAACGGGTTAGGCGATAGTTACAAGGGTTATTGTCACGGGTTAGACCCGCTTCTTACTATGTGGCCCTACCACATAGCCTTCCCCGCACGTTCCGTTCTGTCACCGCCCTATATACTTACTTCTATTGTTACTCCGCTTGATCCACTCCTTCTCTTCTCTAAGCTTTTTGTAAACAGTATGTTGGCCTAGTTAGATTGAATTTAAGTCTTACTTCAGCCCTTCACATACAAAAAGCTTCCTTCTCGTGATCGAGTCGTACCAGATCCAGTCAGCCAGCCAGATTTTCTTTTCCTCCTAGCCAGACCCCCGATTCCCCGCCGAAATGGACCAGAACCAGCCCCTTTTCGCTTTAATCCAGCAACTCCAGCAACAACTCGTCGACAAGAAACGCCAGCTAGAAGCCCTTACGCCTACTCGACCCAAGTTAAGATTACAAGATCCGCCTAGATTCGACGGCCGACAATTTAGTCTAAAGACGTGGCTTCCAGCTATTAAAGCAAAGCTACGGTCGGACGGATTAGTCGGTCAACCAGCATTTGACTACGTTTACGATCGCCTCGAGCCATCCCAGCAAGCCTCAGTCTTACATCTTCGCGAAACCAACCTAACACCCGAAGCAGTCTTCCAGTACTTCGAACGTCTTTGTTATAACCCTCGTGAGAAACAAGATGCAGTGCTACGATTCGCAAATATCCGCCAGAAAGACGACGAAAGCCTAGTCGCCTACCTCGCCCGATTCGAACGTCTATCGCATGAAGCTAAGGTCCATAAGCAAGATCTCCTTCGTACGATTACCCTACACCGTGGCCTACGGCCCACGTTACGCTAGATCCTCGAGCAATCTTATGATACTCTATTCGATCTCGAATACGATGATTATATTGAACTACTCTAGCGCCACGATCGCCGCTAGTAGCGCCCGATTATCCAGAACTAGTAACGCCAGAACCAGATTAGCTAGAACTAGATTAGCTAGAACTAGACCCGCTAGACCTAGTCTCGCCAAAGCTAGCTAGACCTAATGGACCTTGACCCGATTCGCGTACGAACAGCCAGAATCAAGCTAGCTATACCTACTAGTTTAGCCCTAGGGCCCCCGAAGGATCCTGCAAAATACCTTAAGGATAAGATCGATAAAGCTACACTCTATACCGATGAAGATCGCGAATACCGTCGTGCTCGACGAAGCCTACTTAGCTAGTGCTACTGCTGTGGCTCCTTAAATTATTGGATTTCCGATTGCCCTGTTTCCCGCTCCCGTTCTTCTAGCGCGTTTAGTAGACGGCCTACGCCGTATGACGCTTATCCCTCCGACGACGACCCCTAGGAGGGGGTAATGTCACGGGTTAGACCCGCTTCTTACTATGTGGCCCTACCACATAGCCTTCCCCGTACGTTCCGTTCTGCCACCGCCCTATATACTTACTTCTATTGTTACTCCGCTTGATCCACTCCTTCTCTTCTCTAAGCTTTTTGTAAATAGTATGTTGGCCTAGTTAGATTGAATTTAAGTCTTACTTTAGCCCTTCATAGTTATTGAGGAATATAAGCAAGAATGGCACCGTGTGCGGATGTTATAATAACGATAGAGCACGATCCAAGGTCCCTAGTACTAATGGCCGCCATTTATTGGAAAGAAAGAAACTAGACGTCGCCTATTAGGACTATAAGAACAGCACGAGAGGCCTGCCATTGAGCGAGAATACCCGATCCAGACATTGTGGGAGATTCTATAGAAAAGAGTAGGATATATGTTTGCTTAGATGAATTACAGCGTTCTATCTATCAAGAGTGATTTCCTGCTACTTATAGTCTCTTAAAGAAGCTGCTATATATAAGGCGATGACAATGTCTTTCACGTCCCTAACTTCTCTGTTAATTCTAACCAATAGATTGCTTACACTGTACCTTTTCCCAAGCCAGCCGCCCATCCTAAAACACTAGTAAATTCAAGTATAAGCCCCACTATAGTGATACGACGCACGCGCTAGATGTCGGGAAAAAGTGGAGCCATTACTTACAGGAGGAATTGATTGGTCATACACTGGAATTCTGGATGATTTAGGGGCTCCAGTGACTAGGGATATTTCAACCTACCCTTAGTCGCACAGAACTTTCTGCCCTCTTCTTTAATCAATTAATCCTTCCCACGAAGTTAGATCCTTCTCTTATCCAACTTACAGCGTTATATACTAGCCTATACTATATTAGCTTTCTCTAGCACTAGGCTTTTTCCTCCCTACTAGTACTAACCGAAATATAGTATTTCGCTATGAAACACACCGCCTATTTTCCACAGCTTCTAATTAGATAACCCAGTTTAAGGGAATGCGCATCCGGCGTCTAATAACTTAAGAAATAACTTAAATACCTCTCCCTCGCCGCCTATTACTAAGTATATACCTCCCGTTTCACTAAAGCCCCTAAGTAAGTTCGACAGTGAGTTTCTAGAACATCCTACCCGCTATAGACGTCCTACCTCCACCAGACTACCCTCCGGTCTAGCCGAGCGAATATCCTTAAATTCTAACTCGAACGCTACTAGCGACTCTTAAGAAATTGCATACTTCTTACGTTAGTGGTGATATACAAAAATTTCGGGAGATTCTTGACTCGCAAAGTTCTTCATCGGAGGGCTTTAACATATATGACTTCTATGCGATAATGATCGAAGCTATTAAACTAGAAGCTGTACAGTTCATTAAAGAGCTTCTTGATCGCGGCTTACCTATGGATCCTCTCTACGCGTTAGAAGCCGTCAAGGTGAAGGGAAGGTATACTCTAGAAGTTTTTCTTCAGCACGGATAGAATATTAATCAGCCCACGAGCGAGCTTAAGCCTCCCGTGCTTAGGTGAGACTCGTCCCAGTAATCGTGATTATGTCGTCGGATAACATTATAATATTTATTTAGTGATACTATTACAGATAAAGAGATAGTAACTTAGCTCCTTAATCATAGAGCTGATCCTAATCGACAATATGTTATTAATCTCACCCCACTTTCCGTTACTATCGAGGGAGCCCTAATATTAGTTATCTAGCTAATGATTAATCGTGGCGGAGATATTAGGAAAGGCCAACTTCTCCATCACGCAGTTAATCGGCATTCGGATAATATTGCGGTCTTAAGACTTCTCATCGAAAAAGGAGCACCTATTAATTCAACTATGTACGAGGGCCATTATCCTTCTTAGGTATTATTCTCCTTTATACCTCTCGGAACGCCTCTACACAAAGTAGTTAAATTCGGTAAGGCGGATGTAGTTCGCTACTTAGTCAGCGAAGGAGCTAACTTAAGTATTAAGGATACAAAAGGTCGCACAGCTCTAGAGTATACGCAAATATTAAATCAGTGGGAAGTCATCTAGGCATTCGAGAAAAGGAAGTAGCTTATCTTTTCCTTATTTATAGTACGTACAGTCGTGTTTCTATTAGATAGTCTAGCCTATGAATTTAAAGTGTCTTCCCGTTTACGTTACCTATCGAGTTACCTTTCGCCAACATTCAGAATAAGTTATCTAAGCGCGGCTTTACTATATTCTCTTATAATTAGCACAATTATATTTAAGGCTTACCCAAAAAAAGGCCTACGAAAGCTAGATTATACCGATACTGATCGTATATCTAACGGTAAATATAAAAGTACTAACCGAGTGTTCACCTTTCTCCGTAACCACCGCTTCTTTTACCATAGAGGTTCACCTAAACGCTTCCTAGGGTTTTAGTCTCCTGGATCTGGGTCACACAGAATATTAAGAGACAAGAAGCTAAGGTGTAATAGAGGCGAGGAGATCTATCTAGGTTATCTACCAAATATAGTTAGGTGACCATCCTAAGACCAAATCTACGAACACGACGGAGTATAGAGTATACGCAAATATTAAGCTAATAGGAAGTCGTCGACGTATTAAGGAAAGGGTTATAGCTCGTCTATTCCGTATTCATGTTACCGGTACCTGCCTTCCTAGGCTTATAAATAATCTAGTCTATATACTTATTATCGTCCGTTTCGCGGTAATATGCTACGTTACTAAAACCAAGAACTATAATATTAATCATCGTTGCCTAAGCGTAGCTATATACAATCTTATATATCTCTTGCTATAGTACGTATGTTTCCTTAAGGCCTAGAATGCGATAGCTAGGAGGTTAATCATAGTGATTTCGGGGATATCTATGTCTATGCTAGAGCCATCCGAAGGCGTTTTCGTTCTTGACGCTAGGGTTCGAACGAGTTCCGCTTTATTCCTCTCGGCTAGCTCCTTTTAAAACCAGGCCTCAGTGCTACGTCATAGAAGTTAATAATAAGAATACGCTTTAACTCTAAATTCCACAGGAGATTTCCGTTAGTAAGATCGCTATACACTACGCCGAGCGAGAGGATTTCCTTCCTAGATCGTCGAAGCTCACGATCCAGCTTTATAGGAAGCTCCAATCCGCTTATATTCTCGCCGCCCTAAGCCATAAGTAGCATACATCGAATCTCTCCCGCCCTATAGAGGAAGTAAGTCATAGCTAGGTCGATTGTTCCAAGGAAAACTAGTACTACAGATCCTTACGCTTTTCGGAGTATACGATATATCACTACTTTATTAGACACTTCTTTCTAAAGTTAATCGGTTATCCCCTTTCCAATAATCGTGTAGCCATATCGCGCACTAATAATCTTAAAAGGCGCCCCAGACGTCCACGCTCCACATTCACCCAAAGAGGTACAATAATAGCCAGGGTCTTTATTTAGTTACTAATTCAGCTACTAGACTAAGCCCTCCGCTATAATAGGATACCGTTCACCACTTCTATATCGTCTATATAAGTCCACGTTTAGGCAATTATTATCCAAAATGCCGTTCTATTAAAGCCCAAGTAAGTAATACTAAGTGCAAAATTGCATCGTATATTATCGATTAGTACCACTTCGATCATTACCGAACCCTCTTAGCCTTAGTAAATAATCAGGAGGGGAAGATATAACCTAGCTAAGATTCCGTTTTCGCCTAGCCTCAGACGCCATTTAATTTAAATCCGAGTCGTCGGAAGACTAGTCTAGATAATAAACGGCCGAAGAGGGAGCACAACGAGATCGAGGCTATACACAGCCTTATAGCGTAGGCGATAGCATAGGTGACGACGGCATCTATTCAGAACCGGTACCTTCAGTACTATTATCTAGGGAACCCGTATATTCCGAGCCGGGCGGGACTTACTACAACTCATCATCAGGTATTCGCGACCGTACGAGGTCAAAGCTCGTCGCCTAAGTGTTTAGCTGACTTATTACGTTTATCCGCTAAGCATGGTCGCGGACTACAGAATGAGAACTCATTAAAGAAAGACAAAGCACCCGAGCGATAGCTGTTCTTAGTTGCCGATAGTTCTCGTTATTATTCTCATTAATTTCCATATTCGGCTCGCAAAGAAAGTAGAGCAGCGTGTTACGCGTAGCCGACTGGTCACTGTGAGTAAGTGCAGAAAGGGCAATAGTTACCTAAGTCGTTGTTGTAATGCGGTACAATAACGATATATGCTGTCACGGCTGATTCCGGCCCTCTCGGCACAACTTCGAATTCCAAGAGTATCTCTTAATCGTACCGTTGCCTCGCGAGGCCTTACTGCGGAATAGATTCTGTTAAGTATCTTACAGAACGTGCTAGAAGTGCGCGCTAAGTAAGTCAATCACAAAGTATTGCTACTAAGTGAATCCCCTACTTGTAGGTTAGGTTGTCTTAAAGGTGAACTGTGAAGTGCAAAGTACTAAAGGTAGTAACCAAGTAACAATGTGCAATAGGGTCCTAGTAAACTAAGTAATTGATCGCGAAGAACTAAAT